CCAAGGGTACTTTATAGAGCGCTGAATCAATTCGAGCCAATAATAATACTTGGTCACGTGATCTGACCCGCTTTAAAGGATCCCTATTATAGATATTCACCTGATCTTCTTTGACACGTACATCTGACGGAACGCGACGTAAGCTTCTTCACATGCCTGATTATGGTAAGACTAACAGATTTTTATTGATCGAGAGACGTTACAGATAATTACGTATTAATCGACTTTTGTTTAATTCATTCTTCGAGGAATCAGAGTAACATATCCAACAAAAGAAATGTCAAGTGAACCAACTGAATCACAAATAATAGTAGCAATAGAAGAGTTCTTCAAGGATACTGGGACCTGGTCGCTAATCAAGTTTCTTCAATACAGAAAAGAGGTTGATGATTTTACGTATTCCAAAAGACGAGAGCATAGGTTGTACAAGTCGGCTTTGAAAGCGCTTTCTGGTGATCAAGCCGAAATATGTCTTCTCAATTTTGAAGTTGGGTATAATTTTATTGCAGATTATGATTACAGATTGAGATGAGGTGGGTTCAAGGGCTAGAATATGTTTCAGTTCCAAAATAATTATGTGACATGTTGACAAACCCCGAGTAGCTAGCTACCCTCGCCCTGGCTAGTGAAGGTGAACTTCGTCTTCCCTCGGGTGCCCTTGAATAGACCGTTACAATCAGATGCCTTCGTCCCATTGGTTGTTAGCCTTCATCTGCCATAACGCAACCAGATGCCTTCGTCCCATCGGTTGTTAGCCTTCGTCCCATGTTATGGCCCTCCTTAATCTTGACTTTTTTTTGATAAGATTTAAAAAATGTTAATTCTTTTATTAATTCCTGTTTTATTTACAAAAAGGAAGAGAAATTCTCCGAAACTGTAAAAAATTTTTGGATATTGATTGATAAGGAACGCTTTAAACATGAAATCGAGAATATAAAGGTTTGTCAAATTACCATTCGCAACTTTTTTAATGCATTCTTATCAAGAAACTGACTGACTATATGAAATAGTTGGACTACACCAAACGTGTATTGAGTGATACCAACAATGAGACGCATCAAATACGTACTATTGTTACAGATAACGCAATAAAAACACTGAAGCATGCGTTAGAAGGCGATGAAAGTAATAAGGAAAGAAAGAAGTCTGTAAGTGTAAAAGAAGAAAGAGCGCATTGCCCAGACACTAGTAGTACTATACCACCATCACAACCACCGGAATTAACTAATAGCGGTTATACTACGCCATTACCACGTAGTCCAACATCAAACGATTCATTGATAGATCCTCCAATGCTTGTCGATCGTATCAACAATCCATTCTTGGATGAAGATGAGGTAGACGATATCTTAGTAATAGATGATGTTGATGATCTATGCTTTATGAACGGGAACCCAGCCGATGATTATAAAATAGAAGGGACTAATGTGTCTTATTTGTTCCGGAAGTATCAGAATAATTCCAGAAATATTGCAAAAACAGAAGGTTTATTTGTCGAGTCGAACGTTCATGAAATACTTTCACTTTCATCAATTTTCTTGCTTATACCCGATTCACACTCAAGAAATATGATCGATATATTTGGTTCTCCGCTATTAGATGAGATTCACCAGCAAATCATGCCGACACCGCAAATTGCATTGGATTCAGAGTGTGAAGCAAAATTCAGGGACGCAATAAGGCGAGTAACAAAAGAATCGCTTAGTCATGCTACGGATTGGTTGATGGCTGAACTTACCAACAATAAGCCTTTGAAGGACAATATGGGATTTGTAATCCTGGACTGTATAAGATCATTACCTCTTACGAGGATTAAAAATGATCCTAGTGAAATGACATTGGTAACTAACTATTTAGATCACATAATGAGGGGGATGTTGCATGATCCTAACAGGCATATTGTTGAATGGCCCAATACTGGTTTTGATGAAAGCAAGGCGAGGAAGTCAGAAGGAAGATCCAAACAACCAGACTTCGTAGTATCCGTGATTCATCAATTACAGACATGTGGTGTCATATTTGTGGGCGAAGTAAGTCCACCTTCGGAAAAGAACAATGTATACAAGAACTGTAAGGACATAATTCGCGTTGGAATTTTTATGAAAGATTGTTTGGACTCAAGCATAGAAAGGGGTGCAGACTTGAAGGTTTTAGGTTTTCAATGCGTCGGTAGGGTAAATTTTTAATATTTTTCAATTTTTCTTTTTCCTTATGGTTTATTTATTTTTAGAACATTTTGTCTGTTTAGATTACAGAATGGATTTCTATATGATGGATCTCTTCCAGGGAATGTACATGGTCCATATCGGCCAAGTATGCATTCCTTCTTCAATCAAGGAGATGAATCTATTTGTTAATGAAATAGAAACTCTTTTAAGAGTGCGAGAGATTTTTTGTAAATCATTTGGTACTTTATACAGTAAGCTTTGTAATCCAAGCCCACCATCACCAAAGGTAATCTTCAAACGTGATACCCTTGGTACACCAAAATTCAATCAACTTGTGAGTAAAACACGAAACTGCCACAGGAATTGTCCAATATGGTATGGACGGTTTGATTTCAAAAGATGTTGAAAGGCTTTTCTGTAAATCTAGTGATTATTTTTCCGAAAATCTCATGTTATCTAACCAGAGTATATTACATAACATGTGTTAATTATTTGTTGATTACATCGGAAAGTAATAAAAAAAAACATGCGCTTCACGCACATGCAATGTTTTTATTGACTTATGCGGGTGATGTGATGATCATCATGTATCAAATAATAAAAATTTCTTGGCAAATTATGAATTAGCCTATGTATCTTTTGTATCACGCTACTGTCGTGCTTCGATTTTCAACGGTGTATCAAATCTTAGCTGAATTGAAAGAAGATCATCCTCCAGCTTGTTTAGATCAAATTAAAATAATAGTAAATGGCACAAATGAAATTAAAGTTTTGCATTATTCAATGAGACCCAACGATGATGCAAATGTGACATTGTCATAACAAACAAACGTGATTTTGTCAGTAGGGGGAATAACCTATAAATTATTCGATCATATGGAAATATCTAAGTGAAAGAACTATTATTTTACTTACTGTATATGGTTTACTAATGTTATATAATTAATTTAATTGTATTAAGGATCTATATAATATCTGTACTTTCAACCCCAAAACAGATATTCTCAATTATCTTTACAATAATAACGTTTATATACTGTATTTCCTTTTAATAATATTGATTCTCTAACCAGGTGAATAAGCATATTTACATTTGTTTTTTTTCCTTTTTCAAAAATATCTTTTTTGTTTATTTTTATGACTAAATAAGAAAATTGCTAAAAAAAAATACATATAGAAAAAAAGTTTTTAAATAAAAAAACCGAATTATTTTATTTTTTTTTAATTGATTATATTTATTTATTAATTACTTAACTAGTGATTAATATCTTATTATAGTATATATAATAATAATATATAATTAAATTATTATTAATTATTATTATTAATTATTTTTTAAAAAATAAAATAAAATATAATTACAATTTTATTAATCTTATGAATTGTTTATTTAAATTAATTAATGTTATTTGTCTTTTAATATATCTAATTATATGGTTTTATTTTTTAAGTAAAAAGAATCATATGTTAAATAAAATTATTTACAAAAAATAAAAAATTCATTACTAGTTTAAATTATCTTAATTTAATGATTTTATTTTAGTTGTCTATTATAAAAAGGTCAATAGTTTTTTAGAATAATGCAGAATATTTAAATATTTTAATACTTTTTATTTAAAATCTTGAAAAAAAAAATTATTTATTTATTATTACTTGTAACTTTAGATTAATATTAAACTTGATTTTTTTTAAGAAAGTATTCAATTAGAATAGTTTCAAATTAAAATATCTTGTTTTTTTCTAAAGTTTGTTTGATTAATTTTAATTTAATATAATATAATTATATCTTTTTAAAATTAAATCAAAAAAAATTTTTTATATAATTTTTTTATGATTATTAAAAAGTCAAAAGTCTAATTTTTATATAGTTTATTTATATAAATTAAAAATCAATCAATTAATTATAAAAAAATTTAATTATAATTTGAATATTTGAATATAATATTTATAAATAAATTAATAAACTTATAAAATATATATATATATATATATATTTTATTTTTGTATTAATAAAAATTTTATTAACAAGTAAATAAAACTTTGTTATACATATTATTTTATATTTAATAAAACTTGTAATAAAACTTATTATAATTTTTTTTTTAATTTGCAATTTATATTTTATTTTAAATAATCAAATACAATTCTTTGATATTTTTAAATATAATATATTATTTTAATTTTTATATATTATATGTTATATATGTTTAAATCATAAAGTTTTATATTATTTTATATAATGCATCAAATTTTTATAATAATAAAAATATTTAAAGTTATAACATTTACATTTAAATTAATAAAAACTGTATTAATATTATTAAATTTATTTTTTAAAAAATAAAATTAATATAATTGAAATATTAAAAAATATATATTATTAAAAACAAACAAATAATAATAATAAATGGTTTTTTTTTAAAAAGAAAATTTTCAAATCCATTATAAATTAAAAAAAAAAAATTAAAAATCAAATTCAATAAATTTCATATATCAAAAAAATTGTTTTTAGAATATTCTATAATGAAAAGAATGTTGATTTTTTATTCAAAATTAAATGAAGCAAAAAGTGTATTAAAACATTCTGTGTTTGTATCTATTGTCTAT